TTAGGGTTAGAATCAGATGAAAATCGGTTTATATCTTATGATTTTAACACTGATTTTTTTACATGGGTCTTTATTGAAAACAAAATATTTATATATCTACTACTTAATTTTGACTTTGAAAAATATATACCTTATTTAGTTGAATTTTTTAGATATGACGAGTTTATTGTTCATTATGAAGAATAGCAAAGATAATTTAATAACCCTAATTTTTAAGAGTCTCGATTAAATATATTATGACTATGTTGATAAATTCCTCAACTTTTCAAAAATAATGTTTATAGATACTATTCTAATGTATCAGCGAAGATACTTGATGGAGAGAAAACTGGTTACAGCTATCTAGAGTTTGATACTTTCTGACTTTGCCTACATTGACAGAGAGTAGATTAAAATATATTAAGTTCAAGCGAATGCTTTATCAGGATAACTTTGGTCGCATTATTGAGTATCCTTTTCTGATTATTTCAAAATAAGAAAACAAAGCATACAATATTGGTTGCTCTTCTTGATTCTTTTTCTACATCTGCTATAGTAATTGTGTATGTGTTCTTAGATGCAACTACCACTAGTACAACCAGCACTACTCGTACAACCAGCACCACTAGTACAACCAGCACCACTACGACAAGTAAGAAACTGGTGGCCAGCATAAAGGCCAAAGGGGAAAAGCGCTACTTCACTACTTCACGTACTTCAGTCTACTTCACTGGTACTTCAGTCATATTACCACTTTACTCCCCTTGTACTCCCATTTTAGTTCCATGATACTTCACTATACTTCCCCATACCTGGATGCATTACTATTGTACACCTGCATTTCACGATGCTGGAATTTCATCTCATTAAAATAGAACTGAATGTTAGTGTTGAATGTTCTACAAAATTTTCAGTAAGAAAATAACGATTAGTGACTCTTTAAAGCTTTTAAATCATCACTAAATTTGAATAATTTGCGAGAATTGAAAGTACCCTGGGATGTTGCAAAGTAGTTTCGTAATATCAACCAAAAAGCCTATAGGATAGTTTGAAATACTATGTAGATAATCAAAGCGTACCTGAACTCTTAGAATAAAGACGAATCGATTTGATAAGAAAAAAAATTAGCTAAGCCGAGTGCTCTCCTTTTTATAAAGAATATTCGATTCAGTTTTACCAATGAATCGCTCATATATAAAGTCACGGTCAAACGGAAGTTTGATGCATTCAGTTTTCAAAACAAAGAATAAACAGTAGTGACTTGAGAGAATAATCTAAAAGATTTATTGATCATTGATTTAACATCAGCATATTGATTCTTAAGTCTTCATCGTTGTGTCTCCGTTAACATAGTATTGTGATATCAAACGTTCTTCAGTTAATGTGACTGATATTGATATTGCTCAACATCACTATAGTAGCTTAAAAATTTTGTAATGTATGGCTTGCTAAGATCATGATCAGAACTAAAAATAGTTCTAATTCATAATTTATTACTGAGTAATTAAGTTGAAACGATACAATAAAATAAATATGAGGTGAACATTTTAAATATATGAGCATCTATATAGGTCCAAACGAATAAAACAACTTAGCAACATATGGGTGTGGGTTGAAGAAATGAGATGA